AAGAATATACGCATGCACCCCTGCTCATAAACACATACAAGTACCCATATTCATGTCTATAAATGCATGTTCATGCATAAACACACTCCAACACACAGGCAACCCCGTTCTACCGTTAAGTTATAATAGCGCCCCCGACGGAGCCAGGGAGGGAGCTTTTATAAACAAGGCATTATCCATATTAAACGGCACATGGGTCTAGAATAGCCACCATTGTTTGGTAGAAGAGGAGGGGGGGGGGGGTTAGTTCCTTGAAGAAAGGGCAGCATGGCGGTAGGCGCAAGATGTCAAGGACACTCAAGGCATGAAAGTTTACCAAGTGAGAAAAGTTGACATAGAAGCTAATTACTTTCCAGCCTGCCGTGATGAGAGCGACGTTCTCTGAAAGACTCCCAAGAGAACAATGATAAAGAACTTTTTAGGGGAAATAATTGATGTGTGCAGGCGACAGTTATGGTTACTCAGTTTATGTCCCTTTGACTATATTTATTACTTGTTCTTGTCATTTTAAAGTTGAGTATTGTATGCATACATTCATACACACACATACACACACATACTCACACCTCACTCTTTTTTCTACCTCGCCCCTTTCCCGTCTCTCTCTCTCTCTCTCTCTCTCTCTCTCTCTCTCTCTCTCTCTCTCTCTCTCTCTCTCTCTCACATACACACACATATCCCTAAACAAACGATCTTACAACTAACAATAACAGTCTGACGCAACCTCCCTGACAAAGATTTATCTCCTAATGCTCCAAATGTTGTTTTCCGGTTGATTCAATAAAATCCTACCAAAATCAAGCGACAAAGTTAATTACTTTCGCTGAACCTAGAATCGATTTATGTAAACACAAGCTAAGCATATCATTTATTGCCAAACTGTTTCAACTGATGATTGCTGGTGATATGCCCTCTTAAATATAGTTTTGATTGACCTCATGCTGCACTACCATTTCATAATTAGATAAAGTGTGACTGATGTGTACCAATTAGTTTACATGTTATGTGTGTGTCTGTGTGTATATATTGGCGTTTGTGTATGTATGAGTGTATGTGTTCACAGAGAGAACAGAGAGAGCTTAGAGAACTGAGAGAGCTTAGAGAACTGAGAGAGCTTAGAGAATTGAGAGAGCTTAGAGAACTGAGAGAGCTTAGAGAACTGAGAGAGCTTAGAGAACTGAGATAACTTAGAGAACTGAGAGAGCTTAGAGAATTGAGAGAGCTTAGAGAACTGAGATAACTTAGAGAACTGAGAGAGCTTAGAGAATTGAGAGAGCTTAGAGAACTGAGATAACTTAGAGAACTGAGAGAGCTTAGAGAACTGAGAGAGCTTAGAGAACTGAGAGAGCTTAGAGAACTGAGAGAGCTTAGAGAACTGAGAGAGCTTAGAGAACTGAGAGAGCTTAGAGAATTGAGAGAGCTTAGAGAATTGAGAGAGCTTAGAGAACTGAGAGAGCTTAGAGAATTGAGAGAGCTTAGAGAACTGAGATAACTTAGAGAACTGAGAGAGCTTAGAGAATTGAGAGAGCTTAGAGAACTGAGATAACTTAGAGAACTGAGAGAGCTTAGAGAATTGAGAGAGCTTAGAGAACTGAGATAACTTAGAGAACTGAGAGAGCTTAGAGAACTGAGAGAGCTTAGAGAACTGAGAGAGCTTAGAGAACTGAGAGAGCTTAGAGAACTGAGAGAGCTTAGAGAACTGAGAGAGCTTAGAGAATTGAGAGAGCTTAGAGAATTGAGAGAGCTTAGAGAACTGAGAGAGCTTAGAGAATTGAGAGAGCTTAGAGAACTGAGAGAGCTTAGAGAATTGAGAGAGCTTAGAGAACTGAGATAACTTAGAGAACTGAGAGAGCTTAGAGAATTGAGAGAGCTTAGAGAATTGAGAGAGCTTAGAGAACTGAGAGAGCTTAGAGAATTGAGAGAGCTTAGAGAACTGAGATAACTTAGAGAACTGAGAGAGCTTAGAGAATTGAGAGAGCTTAGAGAACTGAGATAACTTAGAGAACTGAGAGAGCTTAGAGAATTGAGAGAGCTTAGAGAACTGAGATAACTTAGAGAACTGAGAGAGCTTAGAGAACTGAGAGAGCTTAGAGAACTGAGAGAGCTTAGAGAACTGAGAGAGCTTAGAGAACTGAGAGAGCTTAGAGAACTGAGAGAGCTTAGAGAACTGAGAGAGCTTAGAGAATTGAGAGAGCTTAGAGAATTGAGAGAGCTTAGAGAACTGAGAGAGCTTAGAGAATTGAGAGAGCTTAGAGAACTGAGAGAGCTTAGAGAACTGAGAGAGCTTAGAGAATTGAGAGAGCTTAGAGAATTGAGAGAGCTTAGAGAACTGAGAGAGCTTAGAGAATTGAGAGAGCTTAGAGAACTGAGAGAGCTTAGAGAATTGAGAGAGCTTAGAGAACTGAGAGAGCTTAGAGAATTGAGAGAGCTTAGAGAATTGAGAGAGCTTAGAGAATTGAGAGAGCTTAGAGAATTGAGAGAGCTTAGAGAATTGAGAGAGCTTAGAGAATAGAGAATTGAGAGAGCTTAGAGAATTGAGAGAGCTTAGAGAATTGAGAGAGCTTAGAGAATTGAGAGAGCTTAGAGAATTGAGAGAGCTTAGAGAATTGAGAGAGCTTAGAGAATTGAGAGAGCTTAGAGAATTGAGAGAGCTTAGAGAATTGAGAGAGCTTAGAGAATTGAGAGAGCTTAGAGAATTGAGAGAGCTTAGAGAATTGAGATAACTTAGAGAACAGAGAGAACAGAGATAACTGAGACAACTGAGAGAACAGAGAGAAGTTGTGGCTCCAACATTCCCTGGTCGTCGCTCTGACATTCCCTGGTCGTCGCTCTGACATTCCCTGGTCGTCGCTCTGACATTCCCTGGTCGTCGCTCTGACATTCCCTGGTCGTCGCTCTGACATTCCCTGGTCGTCGCTCTGACATTCCCTGGTCGTCGCTCTGACATTCCCTGGTCGTCGCTCTGACATTCCCTGGTCGTCGCTCTGACATTCCCTGGTCCTAGCTCTGACATTCCCTGGTCGTAGCTCTGACATTCCCTGGTCCTAGCTCTGACATTCCCTGGTCGTAGCTCTGACATTCCCTGGTCCTAGCTCTGACATTCCCTGGTCGTAGCTCTACCATTCCCTGGTTGTCGCTCCAACATTTCCTGGCTATGGCTCCGACATTTCCTGACTGTGGCTCCAACATTTCCAGACTGTGGCTCTGACATTCCCTGGTCGTCGCTCTGACATTCCCTGGTCGTAGCTCTGACATTCCCTGGTCGTAGCTCTGACATTCCCTGGTCGTAGCTCTACCATTCCCTGGTTGTCGCTCCAACATTTCCTGGCTATGGCTCCGACATTTCCTGACTGTGGCTCCAACATTTCCTGACTGTGGCTCTGACATTCCCTGGTCGTCGCTCTGACATTCCCTGGTCGTCGCTCTGACATTCCCTGGTCGTAGCTCTGACATTTCCTGGTTGTCGCTCCGTCATTTCCTGGCTGTGGCTCCGACATTTCCTGGCTGTGGCTCCAACATTTCCTGACTGTGGCTCTGACATTCCCTGGTCGTCGCTCTGACATTCCCTAGTCGTCGCTCTGACATTCCCTGGTCGTCGCTCTGACATTCCCTGGTCGTAGCTCTGACATTCCCTGGTTGTCGCTCCGTCATTTCCTGGCTGTGGCTCCGACATTTCCTGGCTGTGGCTCCAACATTTCCTGGCTATGGCTCCGATATTCCCTGGTTGTAGCTCTAAAATTCACTGGTTTCTGTTTGACGCTAGGAGTAACAACACCACCATCGGTCTTTGCGGATTGGAACCCAAAACATGTAGGTGATAGACTCCCTACTAGCTGCTGTACAAGATTTGAATAAATGCCATGTCTCTCCTTGACCTTGTAACTGTGTCAGTCAACATCCGTGTCATTATTTACCAGGCTGTACCTATGACGGGTACTTAGACTTGCTCTCTTCTTTCTCGCTCTTTTCTGTTGGATCAATATCATGGCACAACGGTAGTAATCCATAAGGGCTCTTTTCTCTTTCTAACTCAAGCCTAAGTCCGAAGAATCTCAGCATCGAGCACGAACTCCATAGCACCTGCGAGGATCCTGAACTACTTTGGGTAGAATTTCTACTCAAGATTGTCCATGGCAGCTCCGTTATGCTTCTCTTTTAGATTTCGAACTGCCAAGGATTTTTTACGTGCGCAGCAATGCTCACGGTCGTCCAGTCTTATTACCCAGAGACCAGGGAACATTACCAGAAGTCCACGTGAAAAAAAAAAAAAAAAACTCGGGACCTCCAACACTCGAAGCGGACGCCATGTCTTGAGACCACTGAGCCGCCTTTGACTAGCTGCCGATCGCCTCTCTTAGTGGTCGGCAAACTCTTTAGTGAAAAGAGCCAAAACTCAATAGTATAACTAATACGTACCATGTTTCTCGAATCAAAACTGATTTGTGGCCGACTGGCCGAGCCGCACTCTGGTCGCTTCAGAGCCGCATGCTGCTGGAGAGCCGCGAGTTGCCTGACTTTCTACCCCACCAGGACATCACACAAGCGATAAACACCTGATGACACAAAGTGTCACCATGTGGATGAGGATCGCCGTGCACAGGTAACAGAAACCGCGTTCAGACAATTGGCCATATTTATGGCCTGCCTATATTGCGGCCCCTGGCAAAGCCAGGCTGACGCTTCAAAAAACAAAAAATTTCATCCTAAAAAGGACGAAACTGGATATATTAAGCCGCGATTTGTGGACCCCTGACTTTTCTGCTAGACGCTTGCGCTCATTCACACAGGTCCTGACCTGGGGCGGGACAATGGAACCCGTGGGGCGGGAGTAAAGAACACAGATCCGCCTCCCGCCTCTTCAGGCTGTAAACGTGTAGAGAGATTGATTGACATCTGCTGGTTGGTGGAGATCTGGCTGCCTACCCTGTGCGACTGTGACAAACCAAGGGAATATTTCAGTCCGACAAGAGTTTAGTGCATCTTGTTAGTTAAAACAATTGCGCACTTCAAATAAATGTAGATGCAGGAATTGTGGTAAATGTACGACGGCGTTAAGAAGCACATAAATTGTGACGTTTTTCTTAGTTACTACTAGGGGACAAAACCCTAGATCTAGTGATTCCTTGCTACACAAAACGACCGCCCATCGGCTTAGCTAAAAAGATATTATAATACTACGGATTGGATTGGCTTTTTACCCCACCAGGACATCACACAAGCGATAAACACACGATGACACAAAGTGCCACCATGCGGATGAGGATCACCGTGGAGAGTTCCCAGAAACCGCGTTCAGACATTTGGCCATAATGATGACCTGCCTATATTGCGGCCCCTGGCAAAAGCCAGAGTGGGGCTTCAAATAACAAAAAATAACGTCCTAAGAAGGACGTAAGGGATAAGTTAATACTACGAATTCAGGTGAGATTTATAATGGTAGGGAGTGGCAAAAAATCCCCTGTAAACCTTGGCTGACCATTCTTTGATTTTTTTTATGAATATTTCGTGACTTCATCAATCTTGATACTTGTCCGTTTGACAATGGTAACTACTTACTAGTTCTTACATATTATGACCTTCCTTAGGTTACTATTCACGGTTAGGACAATTCATTAGTGAACCCTCTATCACCTTGTCATCTTTTCTGAGAATATTCATTTGGTTTCATTGCGTAAGGATCTTACAGTACAAACCATCATCTTGTGCCATGCGGTATCATCAGATGTGTATACCTTACCTTGCGTATATTTATTATATTATGAAACATAAAAGTTGAATAAGAGGGATGGATCCTTTGTCGTATGGGCATATAGGGTTGGCCTATGTTTTATAGACCAAGTGCCATCTGTGCGTTGAAATGGCCAACATCACACCTGCCGCCTTTACTCCCCATGACTATACCTGGTATCCATTCAAGGCGAAGTCGACCTGGGTCTGTTAGGACCCGAACTCACGACTGTCCAATCCGCATGCGAGCGTGTGTCCACTACATCATGTCAACTTTCATATGATAGTGCAAAGAATTGCATATGTATAAAACAATGTAGAGAGATATTTGTGATGTTATTATATTTATGTTCGTGGGGAAAGACAGTGTTTGTAATACCTTGCTCTTTTCCCTTACTACTCTGATAACACCACAAACACCCGCCACAGATGTGTCAGCATCATCCTCACCAAAAGGATAATTGATGTATTTTCCAGGTTCCCTATAACCACTGTAGAGTGTCAACAACTGTATGTAGAATGGAAAGAACTGAGGTCCGAATTTAATTAAACAGACTACACGTTGAAGACAGCCAATGGCTACTAATGTTGCCAGATAAATTGTTTCATTCCAACCAAACTAACTTAAGCTGAGTGACGTTTAAGATTGATTTGGATTTCTTCTGTGTTAAATGATATTTTCCGTTGAGTTATTTAATAATCAAAAGGGTTGTTCCGGGTTGGGTTGTGTCAATAAATTTGTTGATTAGTAAAACTCAAATATCTGTCTTTGTCAACTGGTATCTGTTTGAATTCCTTGTTTAGATGAAGTATTTTACTCTTTGATTCCTTTGAGTTCAATTAGCAATGTATCGAACTTTGATTATTCAGAAGTTTATTTAGAAGAATAAATATTTATTCAGTTATTTTCCGGGGATTTACCCTATTCATATAATTATTTGAGTTATCAGACTGTATTTAATTCCCTTCCTTTCTATGAATCCAGGGACCAAAAAATCTCCCCTAGACAATTTTATTTCGAGCCCTGTAAAACATTAGTTTAGGAGGGATTATAGGGGATCTCGGCTCTACTGGCAAATTTGGCCGGTAAGGTGGACTGCTTCGGCCGGCTTAGCGGGGATTAGTGGGAGTAATGTCCCTTGGCCAAACTCAAAACAACTCAAAACAAGTCGCGGAAAAAGTCACGAAACAAATGACATACTTACCTATCATCATCCGGGTGCGTGTAGGGTTGCGTAGGGTGTCTATCATCGTCCTACGGTTGCGTGTAGGGCTGCTTTTTGCGTGTAGGGTTGGTTGTTTGCGTAAGATAGATGAGAAGTAGGGTTAGGGGTTAGGGTTTAGGTTTAGGGGTTAGGGTTTAGGGTTTAGGGGTTAGTGTTTAGGGGTTGAGGTTAGGGTTTAGGGGTTAGGGTTTTAGGGGTTAGGGTTAGGGTTTAGGTTTAGGGGTTAGGGTTTTAGAGATTAGGGTTAGGGTTTAGGGTTAGGGGTTAGGGTTTTAGGGGTTAGGGTTTAGGGTTTTAGGGTTTAGGGTTAGGGTTTAGGGGTTAGGGTTTAGGGGTTAGGGTTTATGGTTTTTGGGTATGGTTCGATTTGAAAATTTTCACGTAGGAGGTCTAAATAGTGGCCGACAATTTGACGTTTGTGGGAGTGGCGCCACTGAAACTCTGTCAAATATGACGACGCCAATAGCGGGCGGCTGATGCCCAGTCGCTGGCGAATTGATCGTGTCACCAACATCCACAGGCCCTCGATTGTTTGTGTGTGTATGTG